GCCCTGGTTCCTGCCACTGCCATTTCACTTTTACTGTTTGTCATTTCCTGCATACAGTGGATTGCTTCATTCTAAGCTTGCAAGGTACATATAAGCCCTTTGTGCCAGGGCCAGGGAGTGGAATTCCTGATCAAGTGACTCCCTGAAGTGAAGGTTCACTGCACAAAATGGGCTCCTCCAAGAGGGTGAGATGATTTTACTTCTAGGTCTGCAGTCCCTGTCAACACAGGAATTTCAGTGTTGATGCAGTTGGGATTTACTTACCTTGGTAAGGAAAAGCCCTTTTAAAAGACAAGTGAGTATGTGGAGAGATGTAATGAATTTCTATAAGCCTTGTATCCATAATTCAGCAAAAAATACTCAGTTCCAAACTAGCCACCATTTCTTACTGATGTAGTGTCACAGAATGCTTCACACAAACTGAATCTGGGAAGCTAATGCTAAATGGTCCATTTAAAATAGTTCCAAATGGGTTGGTTGGTACAAAAAGAGAACTTTCTTCCCATGTAAGTTTTCTGCCAAGCTTGCAGCCAGGAGCAGTGGTGCTCCTTGCTTTGGCTTCTCTCTGAGAGTGGAACATGCCCAGATTGTTCTTTCATTTGTCTCCATGTTGAAAGACTTCTGCAAAAAAATAACTTCCTGGGGTGCCTCTGAGAAACAATACTGAGCAATGCTTGTGAGCTCATCAGAGTTAGGGTATGTTGGCATCATGATTTTTGATGCACTTATTTTTATAAATCTGCTATAGAGGTTCATTTAACAGACATTGTGAAGTGGTACTGCCATTCAGCTTGTCTGCAACTTCCCCAGTTGTCAGAGTTACTCAAGAATGTGATGGACAAAAGAAATCAAGACTCCTGCCAGACTTCTTCAGATCTTCCTGATAGCATCAGATCTGTTCACAATTAATGGCTGTTTGAAGCTAGCAAAGTTGTAGCTTTCCTTATGCAGCCTGAGTGTGGATGGGCTTGTTTAACCATTTCATGCAGTTTGAATCAATCTTCTTGCCAATTGCTTCAATATTACTACTGCTTGTATGAGTCCTGCAAAAACCTGTGAGTGTTTAAAAGGCACATTGAACCTGGACACAGTGGAATGGGATGGAGCATCAGGGGAGGCAGGGCAAGAGCTGGCCTTGGCTAGACCAGGGAGGCTGGAAAGGAGAGAGACAGTGAAGTGTCACCCTGCTGATAAAAACCAGCTCTCTTCATGGGAAGCTGTTAAAAATTGCAGCTTTCCACTGGACCTCCACCTAAATAACAAACCATTACACTTGGAGGGAGGTTTTCTTTCAAGTGCAAACAAATTCATTTACTGCACTACCTGAATGCCCACAATGAGATTATGCCCATGAATTACAGAAATTAGCCTTTGCAAGTTGTTCCTTGTGATAAGAACCATATTTCCTGTGGTGCAATATCAGAACATCCACAGAAATCTACCTCTGTACAGGCAGGGAGTCCAGGAGCTGTGGGAAGTGCTGTGTGGAGCTGGAAGTGGAATAGGTGTGTGCTGGAGAAAGTGGGGGTGTTGTGGGACATTTCAAACCAGATCACTTTCAGAAGCAACATCCACCTCCTTCAGTCTGATTTTGTTCATCTGCTGTGATTTCCTCCAAAAACTCCCCCAGAATTGTAATGTAATAAATGGTCCTGTTCTGTTTGTATAGGCCTGTTTCTCTGTATATATGGTTTGTAGCTGGATGCATGTTTAAATTATATCTCTGCTGCTCTTTGTACAGTGTGCTTATTTTTTTTCTGTGTGTTTACTGAGTGAAATGGTCCAAAACCAGTTTGCTTTTCTGAGGAGATCTTCAGTAAACTCCCCAAGAGCTGCCTTGCTGTTCTGAGAGCAGAGCCTGAACTGTGAGTACAGTGGATGGATCCTCCCAGGGCTGGGGCCTCACTCAAGGGCTCAGTGCCTCTGCTGCTGGGGGAGCCAGGAATGGGCTGGCCCAGGCTGGAATCAGGAGCCAGGAATGGGCTGGCCATGGCTGCTGGGGGAGCCAGGAATGGGCTGGCCATGGCTGCAATCAGGAGCCAGGAATGGGCTGCCCATGGCTGCAAGCAGGAGCCAGGAATGCCATGGCTGCAATCAGGAGCCAGGAATGGGCTGCCCATGGCTGCTGGGGGAGCCAGGAATGGGCTGCCCATGGCTGCAATCAGGAGCCAGGAATGGGCTGGCCATGGCTGCAATCAGGAGCCAGGAATGGGCTGGCCATGGCTGCTGGGGGAGCCAGGAATGGGCTGGCCATGGCTGCTGGGGGAGCCAGGAATGGGCTGCCCATGGCTGCAATCAGGAGCCAGGAATGGGCTGGCCATGGCTGCAATCAGGAGCCAGGAATGGGCTGGCCATGGCTGGAATCAGGAGCCAGGAATGGGCTGCCCATGGCTGCAATCAGGAGCCAGGAATGGGCTGGCCATGGCTGCAATCAGGAGCCAGGAATGGACTGGCCATGGCTGCAATCAGGAGCCAGGAATGGGCTGGCCATGGCTGCAATCAGGAGCCAGGAATGGGCTGGCCATGGCTGCAATCAGGAGCCAGGAACGGGCTGGCCATGGCTGCAATCAGGAGCCAGGAATGGGCTGGCCATGGCTGCTGGGGGAGCCAGGAATGGGCTGGCCATGGCTGCAATCAGGAGCCAGGAATGCCATGGCTGCTGGGGGAGCCAGGAATGGGCTGGCCATGGCTGCAATCAGGAGCCAGGAATGGGCTGGCCATGGCTGCAATCAGGAGCCAGGAATGGGCTGGCCATGGCTGCAATCAGGAGCCAGGAATGGGCTGGCCATGGCTGCAATCAGGAGCCAGGAATGGGCTGGCCATGGCTGCAATCAGGGGTCAGGAATGGGCTGCCCATGGCTGCAATCAACCAACCTGCTCTGCTCCCACTGCCAGGGCAATCGTTGGCTCAGTGTCCAAAGTGACCTGGTTCAGCTGGATCCACCCTTTCTAACATCTGCTCAAGGGCTTTAACCTGCTGGGGTAGTCACAGAACAGAGCTGTTGATGATTTGTCTGCTGCAGAATTCTTTTTTAAAGACAAGGAAGGCACCTAACTGAGCTTGTAGTGGTGTTAAGGTTTTGCATAACAAACCTTTCTATCACTTCCCTAAATGTCTCCTAGGCAAAACCATGACAAGTGGCTACACAGGGTGTGTAGTGACATTCTATTTGTCATTATCATTAGTGATCTAAGGAACTGAGAGTTGTCTTTTTGGGTTGGTTTTTTTGTTTGTGGGTTTTTTTGGGTTTTTTTTTGGTTTTTTTTTTTTTTGGTCAGCTTTTGTTTTTTAAGACTTTTGGAGTAAAATGTTTTAGTTTTTTTAAAGGCCTTCTCTTTAAAGTGCCAGTTTTACAGGATAGAACTTTTCTTTCCTTTTAATCATTCCCCCTTTACCTGCTTGCATTGAAATTTTAATATATATATCAGAAAACCTTGTTGCAGCTTCATATATAGTGAAATACTTGCCTGAGGTTTGATTCCAGCTTTTGAATCTGCAGTTGGAAAGTCCATTAATGTTGACAATATGTGTTTGTAGCCACACTTCTGAAATTACAGCATATTGAATTCCCTGATTCCACAATAATTTCTGTTGCTACTGCTTCTACAGCAACAGGAAAAGCTCCTGTCATGGCCACAGCCACAGTGCTTTACCTCCCCCTTGAATTTTGTGATGAGATAAGAGGAATTTTAGAAAATGATAAACTGGAAGGATTGTGGGAAAGGAATTGGACACAGTAAATGAATTAATAAAATTGTCTTGGGATGTTCTTGACTTGAGGTGCTGGATTTTGGGGTTGTGGTACTTTGCTCTGAGGCTGCTCCAGGGTGCTGAGAGTCCCTTTGCCTGCTGCAGGAGGGTTCCCCCAGCCACAGCACCATCTGTGTGTGTCCCAAGGCCCTGGGCAGCCCTGGGCTGTGCTGTGCCCCAGAGGATGGCAGATACCCAAATGCAGCAGTCTCAGCTGGGTTATACCTGGATGCTGTTCAGTTACCCAGATTTTGGGGCTTTGTTTCCAGTGCAGCATGACATTAATTGTGAATAAATCTCAGTACTCAATTCTGCACTGGTTCTGTGTCATTCCATGATGTAAAAGTTTAATTCTTTAAGTACACCTGGTTACACCCAGGGGGTTTTTCTGGGGCCCATCTGTGGCACCAGTTTTGTATCAGCACCTTATGGGACTTTTGGATTACAGCTGCACCTCAGACTCTGCTGAATGGAAGGAGGAGGTTGCCAGATGAATGGTAATTGGCTCTCTAGAATTGTTAATATAATATATTGATTCCTTGCAGAGCAGACAAGCCCTGTGCTTTAAAGCTCTTGTGCTGGGGTGTGAGGCCAGCCTGTGAGAGTGGCTGGTTGTGCTGAAGGTACTGGACAGAGAAACTTCAAACACTGCTGCACAGAAAAAGATCTTTGTGTGTGTGACCTGATCCAACAGCTGAGAAAAGGATGAAAATCAGCCCTGACACAGACAGGGAATTTTTTTCATCACTAGGTTGTGTGAAAATTTAATAAATTGAGCAAACATTTCCCTATGTTCTCTTGAGCAGTTGGGACCTGGATTTTTATTTCCAACAATAACTCAGTTTGAAGGTGCTCTGTGTTTTTTCCAAGGGTTACCTGGCCAGAGGAGGAGGAGGAGGAGGAGCTGTTGAACAGAGCAGGCTTGCTCCTGTTGCTGTGTCAACAAGTGACTTGTAGGGCAGGTTTGGAGGAGGGAAGCCAAGGTGTAAGATGTCCTTAGCTGCTCTGGAAGTGAAAGATAACCACTGAGGGTTTGTGTCAGCAAAGCAGAGGGAATATCTATTTAACTTGTGCAAGTTATCCCAAAACACTGCATTTCTGCCCTTATTTTCTAAGTGAGTAGTTGGGTGCATCTGAAAAATAGCATCCAAATTCTGCACATCTGCCTGATGAAATTTTCCACAGTGTAAATTCCTCCCCCCAAAAGTACTTTATGTAAAACAGCAGTAAAATACAATGAAACACATAATTAAAAAGTAGGAAGGATTAGATGAAGTCTTTTATCAATTTCGTTGCATTGAAGAAAATCGGGAAGAGTGCGAGGACACTCCGTGGGCTGGGCTGGAGCTTCAGCGTGTCCGGTCCGTCCGTGCTGGGCTCTGAAGCAGAAAAAGAGAGACCTGGGGCAGGTTCTACCGAGATTTGAACTCGGATCGCTGGATTCAAAGTCCAGAGTGCTGACCATTACACCATAGAACCGGGCGGTGCCTCTGCCCTCCGCCAGCCCCCACAATTAATCCATGGTGAGCAAACCCTGCTGGGAAATCGCTGTTTGTTCTGTTCGCCCTGCCCTTGTACCTGGAATGGCCGACGGGAACCTAACACGACCTAAAGATTCTGTTTGTTCCGATTTCTGCGGGATTTGTTGTCTTTATAGAATCCCAGAATGGTTTGGGTTGGAAGAGACCTTAAAATCATGCAGTCCCAGCCCTGCCATGGGCAGGGACACCTTCCACCATCCCAGCTTGCTCCAAGCCCCGTCCAACCTGGCCTTGAATGCTGCCAGAACATCGAGTTCCTCTGGGCACCCTGTGCCAGGTCTGTGCCACCCTCTCAAGGAACAATTCCTTCCCAATTTCCCTTCTAATCCTCCCTCTGGCAGAGTGAAGCCATTCCCCTTGTCCTGCCACTCCATCCTTTGTCCCAAGTCCCTCTCCAGCTCTCCAGGAGCCCCTTTGGGCACCACAATCAGGTCACTCCTGGTGAAATGAGGGCACAAAGCCAACATGAACGCTGGGGAACATCTGCTGTCAGAGACACCCCAAAAGAGCTCCCTGAGAGCTCAGAGACATCCCTGCAGAGCTCAGCAGCTGCCACCAGCTGTGCTGATGCAGAATTTAGAAATGTGTTCCCACACAGGCGATTCAAAGCACAGAAAGAAAATGAACAATATGCTGTGACATGCCTGAGATTCTTCAGATAATTTCAGATAAGTCAGAAAGTACTAACCTGGCTGCAATAAATAATGGATATGGGGGGAGAAAAACAGAAAAACTGTGATTGGTTACTGTTCTACTTTAGATATGTGTTCCACGAGGCATGGGATGTTTATGGCATTCTAACAGTCCATGAAAAGCCCGCTAAAGTCACTTTCCATGGTTCTGAGCAGGAAATGAATGTGATTGTGGCAAAAACTTTCAGGTTCCACCGAGATTTGAACTCGGATCGCTGGATTCAGAGTCCAGAGTGCTAACCATTACACCATGGAACCACACAATGTGACCTCCTCAGCCGCGCCTACTGAGCCAAACTCAGGAAAAACCGATTCCATTATTTTCAGGGATTTATGAACAAGATTCTGACCTCGTTTTTCTTCCATGTATTCCACACGTATTCATTTCACGTAAGAACTCCACGGTTTATTTATCACATTCTTCAGGCCTAACAACAATGCCCACTGAGCAGCACCGTGCCTTTAAGTTCATGGAGCCTTTTTCCTCAGATCTTGTAATCCAGAGGGGCCAAATAAAGTCTTTCAATACCACGTGCATTGATTTTTATGTTTTCACATTTGTGGTTTTATTTTGCTTTCCTGCATTTTATGCTGAGAGTCTGCTTGCTATGTCCGGCATTGCCACAATGTTTCATTTAATCTGGCAAGACAGGGAAAAACTACAAATGTGTGCAACCAGCTTTTGGAGCCTGATAGACATGGATCTCCTGGAGCAGGTCCAGATGAAGGCATGAAGATGCTCAGAGGAGCACTTGTTGTGTCAGAAAAGGCTGACAGAGCTGGGGCTGCTCAGCCTGGAGCAGAGAAAGCTCCTGGGGGGCTTGTGACCTTTTAGTTCTAAGGGAGTTTTCTTATGAAATGATAAAGAACAGGGTTCCACAAGGGTGCTGAGGCAGTGGCACAGGTGCCCAGAGAGGTGACAGATGCCCCATCCTTGGAACCATTCAAAGCCAGTTGGACGGGGCTCTGAGCAGCTTGTGTATCCCTAAGCGGCTTTTAAGGGTCCCTTCCAACCCAAACCACACTGTCACCCCACGGGACCTCAAATTGCACTAAAAAATGGCTGTGGGCATCCCAGCGCTCTGTCCGTCCTTTACTCTTATCAGCTAAACTACACGTCGCCAAGATTTCAGCAAAAACATCTGTCCTCGCATCAGCCATACCCCTGTCCCCCACACCCAAAACTGACCAGCAGAAAGGACAGGAGGGGCACTGTGCCATGAGGAAAACAAAAATATTCAGGCTAGCAGAGGATGGTTTCGATCCATCGACCTCTGGGTTATGGGCCCAGCACGCTTCCGCTGCGCCACTCTGCTGCTCACAATAAATACTCCTCCTGCAGCAGCTTAGAACCAGTAACGGCACGCAGGCCTCGACACGCACGGCTCTGTTCCCTGCCCGCCCCTGCGGCCACGCGGTCCCGCTGCAGCTGCTGCCCGCTCCGGAGACACGCTCCAAATATAGCAGGAGTAATGGCCATAAACTTAAACACGAGAAGTTTCGCCTCAGCAGGAGGAAGAAGCTCCTCACACTGAGGGCGGCGGAGCAGCGGAACGGCTGCCCAGGGAGCGGTGGAGTTTCCCTCTCTGCAGACATTCAAACCCACCTGGACGCGTTCCGGTGTCACCTGCACGGGTGACCCTGCCTTGGCCGGGGGCTTTGATCTCCACACGGACCTTCCAACCCGAACGATTCTGTGATTCTGCGAAACGAGAATGGCTTCAGCCCCCCGCTCTCGCCACAGGCCAACAATATTAACTAATTTAGGTCCAAACCACCGATGTGCCACCGCAGAAAGTGCCCCATTCCCAGCTGCGCACAGCCGAACGTGGCTCTGAAACCCGCCGGGGGTTATCGATACAGAACGGCCCCGTGAGGAGCGCCGGTACCGCCCCGCCCCAGAGTGCTTTGCGCGTATTTGCATACAGTAGCGCTATTTGCATAACCCCGCTTGGGCAGGATTTGGGGGGTCTGTCCCCCCTGTCCGCCGCCTCCGGCCTGTCAGACCCTCGGAATAGTCAGGGTGCTGTGCATCGCTGCTGCTGCTCCCATCGGCACCGTCGTTTGTCCCAACAGGGTCACCCTGACCTTGTGCAGCCCGAATGCTCGGGGTATAAATACCGACGGGTAAGCGCCTAGGTTCGTGCTCGCTTCGGCAGCACATATACTAAAATTGGAACGATACAGAGAAGATTAGCATGGCCCCTGCGCAAGGATGACACGCAAATTCGTGAAGCGTTCCATATTTTTTTCTCCCTCTCATCCCGCCCTCCAGGCCTGGAAGAGGAAGTTTAGGGGTGACCACACTCTCCATGACACATGAGAGTCAGGGGAGAGGACATAACCTGGAGTGGCACCAGGACAGGTTTAGATTGCACGTCAGGAAGATTTTCTTCATGGAAAGGGTAATTAAACATCAGAATGGGCTGCCCAGGTGCAGTCACCATCCCTGGAGGTGTCCAAACAGCTGGACATTGCACTCAGTGCCATGGTCTGGCTGACAGGGTGGTGTTTGCTTACAGCTTGGATGATGTGATGATCTCAGAGGTTTTTCCAAATGATTCTGTGATTCTGTGAGCCCCCTCTGGCGCCCCAGCAGCTCCCAGGACCCCCAGAGCCAGGATAAAAATGGGCCCCTTACTCCTTCCTGCTGCTCCCATGCCAAGGTCCCGCTGGCCCTGAAGGCACAAGGGTGGGCACTGAGGTGCCGGTGCCTTGGCAGGGTGTCTGAGCTGGCTCAGCTCCTCTCTGCCCCGCACAGAACACGTTCTCCAAAGACACCCAGAGGCTCAGGGCTGACCCCAGCTGGGCCCAGAAGTTTTCCCTGCAGTAACAAATTCACCATGGTTGCTGCAGAGAATTGACTCACAAATGAGAGCGTTTGCTCTGCAGGGACTCGCCTCCAGAGTCAGATTGTGATGCTGCCACAGGTTAGTACTGTGAAAAATGTGTGTTTTATGATTGGCTTTTTGCAAATATTAAAATGAATATTATATGTGTTGTGTTAGAAAGTAATGCTGTTAAATATAGTTTTAGGTTATAACAAAATGTTAAAATAGAAACTATGTTATGTAGAATACTTTTTTTTTTCTAAAGAAAGGACTCGCACAAAGATGGTGGTCACAGGACACCTAAATCTTTCAGACAAAGTGAATTTATTGATCCATTATCAGGAGAAATGAACTTCTTCCCACCTCACTCAGCCATGAATACCCCATTAGGATTCAGAGGAAGAAGCTGACGATGACCAGGCAGAATCCTGTGTTTCAATGGAATTTATGCATCATCTATGAGGTGTATGAATATGCAATAGGTTTATCATTGTTTTTAAGGGTTAATCCTCTGTTAACGTGGGTCCTTTTTCGGGCTTATACTGCCCAGAAAAGGTACCTGGACATCCATAACTCTTTGTTTCTATTGTCTCATATTGTCCTAATCCAAACTGTCCAAATTTTTATTACTCTAATTGAATTACTATTTTTATAACCATTTTATTACAATTAAACTTTTAAAATTTTAAAAACAAGTGACTGGCGTTTTTCACAGTACTTTTTGTATTTCATCTTCTCTCTCCTCACTATCCTTTGCTTCCTCCGGCTCTGGCACTGCCAGGCTCTCCTGACCACTGCATGGCACACACATCAAAGATGGGCATTCTCTAGTTCTCACTGTTTCCCTCTGAGGATTGTCTCCCCAAAATGGTTTTATTTTCATGCAGGGTGTTCCTAAGCAAAGCAGTGGGAGTCTGCTCCACAGAACAGCAAATGCCCCTGGGCATTGCTGAGGTGATTCCACGATGGAAGGAGTAGCTCCTGCTCAAAAACTGCACATTCTGTAATTCACCTTCTTTCTCCACACCACGGGATCTCACTCTTGTGGGATTCAGCGCTGGCTACCAAAAGAACAGGGCAGAAATTGGGCAAAAAGAGCAGCACTGAAGGCACAGGTACCACCCAGAGTTACCAGGGGACAAAAAGCTCAAGTTCCTTTGCCTAGAGGGTGCATGGCAAAGCACTGAATCGAGATGGACTGCTTCTCTTAAAGATCTACAGCTCCTGTAAGAAAATGGGGAGTTATTTTTGGAACAACTCTTTATGGAATAAGTCTTCTATGAAGAGGTAATGCTTTTTTGGCTTTGGCACTGGGGATTTTGTTTTAATTCAGCCTGAATCCTGTGATGGGGTGAGTGAAGCTAAATAAGGTGGGTGCTTTTCGAAAGAAAAAAGCAGAACAGAGGCAGATGGTGAGGGGGAGAAAGTAAAATAGGAAACATGAAACAAATATATTGTTAGAGATGCCATTTTTCTGTAGTAAAAATGCTTCAGCTTCTTGGTTTGATTGACTGTTCTTTATTGTTTTAACTTCATGTTTTCTGCCTGTTTTATTGCATGTTAGGTACCACATAGCATAATTCAGTTTCTTTTTCAGATAAAAATTTTTAATTCTCTTCAGATGAGATCGTAACAGATAAAATAAGGAAGTTGGGAAGCTCATGTGAAAGAATTTAAATGTGATGAATCATCCAACCTCAGCAGTGAACAATAAACGTGAGGAATTCTACTTTGGTGTTACTTGGATTACACTGCTCAAGGTGCAGTCAGAGTGCTGGTTTTGGCTTTGCTTTCCTTAAAATTGTCAGGTATGATTGTCCCTCTCTTGTTTAGATAAAATTATCCAAATATTGCTGGCTAACTTGGTCTGAGTTTTTAGTTATTATTTTAAAACACAGGCTGTGTCAGCAGGAGTGTGTGGAGGTGCCAAAGACCTGCTGGAATGCAGGTTTTGTATGTGTCACTCTTGGAACACACTGTGACAACAAGGATTGCAAATTTTCACTGCATTTTCTTTCTCTTGGTGTCACTGATTTAGCATTTTCACAGGTAGGTCGCATTTCAAACATCTTTTGTTCTTCAGAGCAAAATTCTAGTTTTGTCTTTGAATCTGGCCTTTCAGAAGATAAGATAACCACACAGTATTTCGGATATTCATCCTGCGAATTGCTGCTTGGGAAAACAGTAGATTTTTTATTGTGCACATGAAACTGAAGTTTGTTATTAAACAAATATTAAAAAAGACATGCTGGGTTATTTCTTCCTCTGGGCTTCAGCGAAGGGCTGAGAACAGTTTTTACCTGAGCGCCACTGGCCGCTCCATCAGGACTGATTTCGAGTCATTGTCCCGGTTTAACACTTAAAATCCTTTTTGGACTTTTTCTTTAAAAGCAGGGCGGGTCCCTCACGTCACCCTGGCGCCATCACCGCGCGCCGCCGGTCGCATGTCCCTTGTTTACCCCGGTCACTGCCGGTGGTGGTGGCGCCGCGGCGGGCGAGGGACCGACAGACCGACCCCGACCGACAGACAGACCCCGACCGACCGACAGACAGACAGACAGACAGACCGACCACCCCGCCGGGGGCAGCGGGACACTGGCGTGGGAGGAAAAAGGAATGGCGGCGGGGAAAGGGCGTACCCCGCAGGGGCGCTGTGAGGGCACCTCTCGGGCGGTGTGAGGTGCGCTTGTCCTCCCTGCGGAGCAGCGAGAGGGGCTGGCGTGCCCTCAGAGGTGGCACGAGGCGGGAATGTCTGTGTCTGTGTGTGTATCTGTGTGTGTGTCTGTTCCAGGACCGGTGTGAGGCGGGAATGGACCCTCCTGTTGGGGCGGTGTGAGGCGGGAATGGCTCTTCCCGTTAGGGGTGGCGCGAGGCGGGAATGGCTCCTCCCTTTAGGGGCGTTGTGAGGCGAGAATGGCCGTCTCCTCTCCTCAGGTGCGGCGTGAGGCGGGAATGGCTTCTCCTCCCCTCAGGAGCGGCGTGAGGCGGGAATGGCTTCTCCTCTCCTCAGGTGCGGTGTGAGGGGGGAATGGCATCTCCTCTCCTCAGGTGCGGTGTGAGGCGGGAATGGCTCCTCCTCTCCTCAGGTGCGGTGTGAGGGGGAATGGCTTCTCCTCTCCCCTCAGGAGCGGCGTGAGGCGGGAATGGCTTCTCCTCTCCCCTCAGGAGCCGCGTGAGGCGGGAATGGCTCCTCCTCTCCTCAGGTGCGGTGTGAGGCGGGAATGGCTTCTCTCCTCAGGTGCGGTGTGAGGGGGGAATGGCTTCTCTCCTCAGGAGCGGTGTGAGGGGGAATGGCTTCTCCTCAGGTGCGGCGTGAGGCGGGAATGGCTCCTCCCCTCAGGAGCGGCGTGAGGCGGGAATGGATTCTCCTCTCCCCTCAGGAGCCGCGTGAGGCGGGAACGGCTCCTCCTCTCCTCAGGTGCGGTGTGAGGGGGAATGGCTCCTCCTCTCCTCAGGAGCAGCGTGAGACGGGAATGACCCCTCCTGTCCCCTCAGGGGCGGTGTGCGGGGCTGTCCCGCAGTCCCTCGCCCTGTCCCGCCTGGGAGCGGCCCGGTTCTCCGCCGTTTCTCTCGGAGAGACACCGAGGGAGGAAGAGCCGAGCGGGTGGGCACGGGTCGGGAGCCGCCGGTGCGGGGCTGCAGCGGGTGCTGGACTTGCGAGAAGCCAGAGGCGTTCGGCCATCAGTCCTCGCTGTGCTGCTGAGATACCAGCTGTTGTCCTGAGCTGCCTTTCAATAAAGCCTCTCCTTTATTTTCAGGCTCAGCATGTCCCTGCCAGCAAACAGGTGTGGAAGGCCCCCCGTGTTGTCTTTTCTGGAAAAGAGAAAGAAGAGTCTTGATAGAAGAAGGGGGAAAACAAGGATTTATGTGGGAGATCACATTGACCGGTAGCTGACGCTCAAGGAAAAGTTGGATTTCAGAAATGACTCAGAAGTTGTAGGGATTTACTTTACTGGATATGTGAGTAGATTGCCACGATATTCCTGTTTGCTAATAGGAAGTAAATAATTCTGAGTGTTGACACCAAGTGCATTTTTTATTTCTAGATATGATAGCTACAACCTGTTGTTAAAAGCTCTGCTCTGTCCCTTCTCTGAGGGTGTGAGAAGGATCTCTGGGAAGGAAGAAAGAGCACTGTCAGCCAACACTCCTTTAATAGCAGCAGATGGAACCTTAGTACTGTCCTCTCCTTGCTTGGGAAGGGTGGATAAAATATTTTTCTTGGTACCACTTGAAGGACTGTAGCTGACATTTAAAAATAATGAGATAAAAGTTATGTATAAATAGGAGAATATACAGCTAATTTTAGATAAATTGAAGATGCCAAATATCTTTTGTTCTTACTTTTGATTTTAGTAGGTGAACGAGTTGGGGTTTGGAAAGCAATTCTATGGCAGAGAAGAATCCTTGGAAGTTGGTCAGGAGCAAATAAACACCAGTGCTGATGAAGCTGAAAAATTCAGGTACATTCTTCAAAATAGCATTTTTCTCTGGCACTATAATTTTAGCTTGGAGTGTAGCAGTTACTGAATCCCTGGGACTGATTTGGTTTGTATTTAACAGAGGGTTTGTATTTAAATGATTGCTTACTTCAGCATTCTGAGATGCGAGAAATATTGAGAAAAATTGTTTGGTATGAAAACAACTTCATTGCCCTAAAAGGTAAGGCAGTGAGGCTTTGGAACAGTCTCATGATATCAGTGTGAAGGTTCTAAATCCCACCAAACACATCAAATGCTGGACAGATTATCAGGCATGTACACAGTGGTAATTGTACAAGGCTAAGGAGCAACAGGTACCTAAGAATGAGGAGAGTGAAAAATAAGAGGAGTTCATTGAGACAGGCATCCTAGGGCATGCTGGGTTATTCCAGGGAATATTTCCTACCAGGAGCAGTTGTATAACCTCAGCATGAGGAAAATGGTTTGTGTTTCAGTGTCTGAAGCCCACCTCAGTGGTGGCACTGTTGGGTTTGTCTTGGCTCACAGGAGAGCAGTGAGGTGGAGTGCTGAGCCTTGGTGGCTGTGGCATGTCCATACAGGGGTCAAATCAGCTGCCCAAAGTCCTGTTGGTAGCTGAGCTTGCATATTAAAGGACCAAACTCAATTGCTAACTCAGTGTTTTTAGAAATCTGGGCAAACAGTGAGTTTTCTTGAGAAAGGATCAGTGTTTATGTTAATGCACACTTCTCTCTTGTTTTCAGAGGTGTGGCACTGCACTTCCCATTGAAGGGAGCAGATGCAGGTGGGTATTTCCTGCTTTCCAGGCTCTTGGCTGTCATGTTTTCCTGTTGTTGTTTTGTTTGTATTTGAATTAATAACCATAAAGCAGCTGTTGTATTCTAGGCTTCTTATTCTTGAGTCTAATTTTAGGTTGGCTAAACACTAGCTATTAAGGGACTGCACACATCAGAGACAGTGGAGGAACAACACTTAAATTCAGCTTCTTTGGTGGCCTAATGATTGGTTTCTGGCTTGCTTTTGGAGCCTGATGAGGTTGCCTTTCAGCAGAAAGAATTCTTGTAAAGAATTGAGCTGATGGAGGAGCAGTGGGGGAGTCAAGTAGATCCTTGCCAGGTGCAATGGAAGAAATGGAATGGTTTTTTGAGTTGTGGCTGTTGTGAGGAGTTGGTGGGCTGATAGAACAGGAAGGAAGGAATGTACAGATATTCTGATTTAAAGGGGCATTGGCAGGGCAAAGCCAATGGAAGGGTTACCAACCCACATCCAGTGAGGTTTCTGAGACAATCAATCCTTCTCTGGTGCTTCTTCTGTTATTAACTTCTAACTTTAACATTTGGAATTTAACCAAGCTTATTTAAAAGTCTTTTTCTGGTGTACATGTAACAATTACAAAGCTGTCAAAGCAGGTAATAAACAATATTTTTTTAAATATATGTTATTTGCTCTAACGCTGAAAAGTAATGAACCAAAGTAGTTGAACAGGATTTTTTGAGGCAGCTTTGGGGAATTTGAGATTCTTTTACTATTGTAGTAATTGAATGATATGGATTAAAAAATTCATTTACTTAAGGAATGTGTTAAAAAGACAAATTCTCATTATAGAACTGCCCATGCCAGGGAGTTGGAACAAAATGATCTTTAAGGTCCCTTCCAACTCAAACCATTCTGGGATTCTATGAACTGACTTTCTTGGGATTTGATTATGGACTGTGTCTTTTTTTTTTTCCTCAACTCAGTAAAAATGAAACAATACAAATCCAAAATGGATACTCAGAAGTGTCAGAGCAGTTCAGAGAGGATGGCTCAAGTGTGCAGTAGGATGAGTTGGTGTCAGTAAATAACCAATGTTGACTTGGGAAGCCCCAGCTTTGTGGGAGGCTTCAGCCTGTCCCCCTCTCTCCTAATTTGGCCCTGGCAGCTCCTTTTGTAATGATTTTTGCTGCACAGCTTTCCTCACAGCTGTGGGGCTTTGGCAGACTCTGTGCTGCAGAACTTCTCTTCATCCTGAGCAGTGTGTTCTGTGAAAAGCCATGGCATTCCTGTCCACTTGGAAAGTGCAATTCCAAAAGTGCAATTTCCCAAATTTGGAAAGCAAATAAACCATCTCCAGGAAGGTCCAGCAAGCTGTAAATGCTACAGATTTACCATGACCAAGGTGAACAGCTGAGGAGTTTCTTAGCAAGCAGGAAAGTGTAAGTTAAATTTAAAAGAAAAAAGGAAAGGAAAAAAAAAAAAAGCCTGATAAATATAACTTGCTTGGTAGGACAGCTTCCTGTTCTCTTCAAACAAATCAATTTTCAGTGCCTTGTTTTGACTTGTTGCAATTTTTAATTGGCCTAAAAGATTCTGCATGTACTGCTTTTGATCTTTAGTGTTCATAGTTTGTTTTTAATTAAAGAAAGGGAAAAAAAAAAAAGAAAAAAACTAAAAACAACCACCCCCCAGCCCTGTCAAACCACAGTCTGTGGTTGTTTCACTAATGTGACTTCAAAGGGATGTCACACAGCTTTTCCTTACAGACAATTGAGTGGTGAGTGTCAGACAAATAATTTACTGTAATGCTGAGTGCTGCTCTGTATTTCACTGTAGTGAAAGCTCTGATTATATACCATAAAACAGAAGATGTTGGTCTCTTTATGGGTATTGCACATAGAAAAGCACAAATGCACTTATTGTGATATTTCCTCTTATTTCCAGGCTAGGAGATTGTATTAAGGGAGTTCACTTTCCTAGACATGGTGAAACAAAATAAACTTATTTCATGTTTAGCTATTTGAATATCATATTGTAACTGTTATTACTGTGTTGCTTTTCAGGGTGAGCAGCAAGAAGAAAATCCAGCTCTTGCATAACAATACAGGGGCAATTTTTACCCCATTTTGATTTTGCTATGGGGATATTGTGAACTGTAAAGAATTACTGTAAGTTGTGTGAAATTCTGTGTTGTGTTGAACAGCACATTAAACTCAATTACATAAAGTTTTCTTGTGTTATGTCAGAGTTTAAGTGTGTGGAGTGGATTATTTCCCTGGAAGAGTCTGTGCAGAGTTCTCTGAGGGGCAACAAAAGAGGACAAGCCAAAGTGCTCATGGTATTGCTAAAATGAGTCAGAATTTAATAACTTTTTGTAGGTTATTTTAATGACTGAATTCCTTACATTTTATCTAAAACTCTGAAGGGTTAAGATAGAAACAATATTCTAGTGTCAGTTCTAGTCAGCATCAAGTGTGCTTCCATCTGAATGTGTTTCTTGGAATGCTTCTCTTTAGGGAACAGATGTCCCATGTGTTGGAAGGCACTTGTGCAGGTGATTGATGCCTTGGGTGGGTAAAACTGCTGGACTGTAGATGGTGTTGGTCCCTTTGAAAAAAGGAGCAATTGAGATCAGCTACTCTGGTGCTTCTCTAAAATCTTCTGTGATTGAATCATTTGATGTCTTGCTTTGCTTTTGGTAGCACAGCAGCTGATACATGAGCTGATAAGTGCTGCATCTTCATTATTTTCTTCTGTAACAGAGATGAAATAAGTGCAGCACTGTCAGGAACTGAGGCTCTACACAACAGTGTTGGTGGTTCTGAATGTTTTGTAGTTACCAAGTGTGAGTAATCCTGGAAAGGTTTTGAACAGAGAAGCTGAGGTTGGTGCAGCATTCAGGGTACTCAGTGGATGGTTATCAGAAGCACAGAAACTTCCAGTGTTCTGATTTCAACTTCTTTTTCTTTAACCACACACTTGCATAAGCTTTCAGGTCTTGATCTTACAGTGTTGGAGCCAGCTGGGCTTTCACACCAGCTTACACTAGAACAGCCTCTCTGTGGGGAGAAATTCCCCTAATTAGATCATTGTACTCTGCCTTCAAACCAAGCTGGAAGAAACTGCTGTTGCTCTTAAATATTATCTTGATGCTTTTGAAGTATCTGAATTCAATATTGCTTTATGAACAATAGATTTTGCTCTAAATGTTGCACAGATAGTCTCAAAAAACTGCCTTCTCAACTTTTGTTTTTAATCTATCTCAAAATGAAAATGCCACTTCTTCTGTATTTGTGTTCTCTCTTTGCTCTGAACCTTTCAGATTTTTCTTTGACCAAACAGTGGTTCATGTAAATAACTCAGTTTGGCTCATGGGTGCAGTGTGACTGCTGGCACTTGTGCTCAGTGGAGTGTCTTCCTGTGCTCTCAGATTTCCAATTGTTGGTGTCATTACAATGAGAAGGGAAGAGGACTCAGCCTTCTGTTACATTTTCCTCCAAAGGCTTCAAGATCAGAAGAATCCACAACTGCATATTCTCAGCCAGTTTAACCTCATTCTTGTGCCTTTTTAAATGCACACTGCAAATATTTCTATTATTTAATGACTTACTGTTATGCAAGTAGAATAATACTGCCAGTACCTGATTTGTTGAGTTGCACTCACTGTGTAAATCACTGGTAGAATGATTATTCTTGTCCATAGTACTGGAATATGGTTCAATTCATCCCTTACTAAGGCTTCCTCCAAACCTCTCATCACACTGGCACTTCATGCTGAAGAAAAATCAAGAGAAAGCAGACTTGTAAACATTTCCTTTTGTAGTGTTACAGGGTGACAGATGATATATCTGGGTTGCTCTATGAGCATACACTTTTGAATATCTCATTTCTGTAGAGCAGAACATGATCATTGCTGTTTTCCAGTAAAGTTAGCAGCATGGTGAATGGAAATGATTCTGAAACAAGATTCTTTCCTCTGATAGATATGATGGGCAGTGGCTCTGCTTTAGTCAAAATGGCCAAGGAAGGCTTTCTGCTCCTGTGGGTCTATAAAATTGTGGAATTTTACAGAACTAAACTCATAAGAATTCTTACCCTCTTATTCCATTGATACATTAAAAATGTACTTTAGGAGAACTACTTAAAGCAGAATCATCAGTTGTGCTGTTGGCAATACTGAATACTTAGGGCATAAACCTATCATGTTAAATGTGAGAATTTTCTGTAGGGATTTATAGAGGAAGTAGCTATAAAACCACCAAATTTAGATTTTGTTTTGTGTTTGTGAAGTGGACTTACTGTGCCAGTTGGTTTCCTTAGAACTGTGGCTCTATCAAATCACTTGAAATGTGTGTACTTACATGCATAAACTGGGAAACTTCATCCAAATAAGGGCTGTTCTGTTTTGTGCTGAACTTAAATTTCAAACCATTAGTTAAAGAACTGAAGTTACAATGCACTGCTTTTCATGGTACTAACTAAATCTTCCATTACTTAGCCTTTGCAAGAAGCCATTTTCTAAAATCACAGTAACTGCAGTTGTGCTCTTAGCTCCCATCATGTGGTATCACCTGAAAACTTTGTGTCTTGCTGGGGAAAGGTAGTCTGGCCTATATTTTGATTTACTTCTGTAGTAAAAAACCCTACAAAACTGGAGGAAAAATTGTTTCCAATAGCTCTTGCAGATTTCTTGGTGAAATAAGGAGTTTTTTAGATCACCACAGACCTGCTGGAGAGGGGAGCAGAACTGAGGGGAGATACTGGAATAGGGCACTTAAAACCAGTGTTTCAATGCCCTGCTTTCTTAGCAGTTCAAATTGCTGTTTAATTCTCTGGCTCTTCTTACTCTGAATGCTTGTAAGTCTGGAAAGCTTGATCAGTCAGTCAAGAGGAATGCTGCATCAAAGCCTAATATTTAACAATGTAACAGGGAGGCAGGAGCCTGGTTTTATTCTGAATGCTTCAGGCTGAGTAGAACATCATGGCTTTTATCTTGTGGTAAAATTTAAATATGAAATAGGACTTTTCTAAGCCATGATCATTTGTGTGATTTAATAGGATGAAATCCTATCATCAGTGTGATGATGATGCTTGTTACTACTTTTGCAAGAGGCTTTCATGTCCTGTACCCTGCTGTGGGCTTCTAAATCAAGACACCCCAAACAAGTTTCAGCTGTGTGTAGTGTTAAGCATGTTCTCATGAGTCACTGCTGAGAACACTGATCAGTGGATAGCAGGAAGGAGCATGCATCAAAGGAGGAATTCCAGAGGCTGGAGAAGTGGAGTTTCAGTTTGAGATGTGTAAATGCAGTGTGGGTCAGAGAGGAATGGTGAAGCTGAGCACTGTCTCTGGCTTGAGTGTCCTGTTCCTCTCTTTTCCCCTGTCTCAGCAGAAGCATTAATTTCATTTAGAATTCCAGAGATTCCTCAGCACTGCAGCACTCAGAGCCCTGGCAGTGAGGATTGTGCTTGCACAGCTCTGAGGATTGAACAGATCAGTTGGGTGGTTCTGAGATCAGGAAGAGCTGATAAGTGTGAGCAGGTCCATGTTCACCACCTCGTTCAGGTCACTGAGCAATGCTTCTTTCTGTAGACTTGTGTTCAGGGTGCCAAACTCAGCCTGCTCTGCTCAGTGCTGTGTGTGCCCATGCTCTGGATGCAGTGTTCACAGGAGCTGTATCAGAGACTGCCCAGGGCATTTAGAAATAAAGAACAAGTGGTTTTGTGTGTGTACACACACAGCCCCAATCTCCAGTTTATTTTATGAAACCTTAAACTGACATGGTTGAAAGGGACCTCTGAAGGTCATCTCATTCCCCCTGCTCCAAGCAGGGCTGACTTCAGGTTTGGATCAGGTTACTCAGAGCTTGGCCTTCTGAGAACTTGGCTATTTTAGAGAATTTTGAAATGTTGTTTCTTAAAACATAGGATCCGGAATGATTTCATCTTGCATTTCTGTTTTCCATTTTTCTTTTTTACTATTATTGTAGTAGCCACAGTCCTGATCCATGGCTCTTAAGATATGGGAGCCCTTAAAATACATTCATGGGGGCAACTTAATACAGACAATTTGTGATTTGAACAGCATTGTCTGTACCAGGTAACAGTGTGTGCATGTGGAGATGCTTTAGGATTTGTCACAAAGAGCTTTCTCTGGCTTTAAGAGAGAATATGGTCTGAAGTGAGGTGACTGCAGGCATTGTGTTAAGTAATCTTTTTTGTGTGGTTACTGTTGTGTGTTTGTAAACATCTCCTGTCTGTAGTAGCAGGAATTCTTTGGTCAGTGTGTATGCAGTAAGCAGAGAGTGCAAATCCAGGGTCTCTTGTATGGATGGCTGTTGCTGTTGAATGTGGTTCCACTTTGGCCTCAGTCAGGTTCAGTGACAAACTCCATGTGCTTTCCTAAAGACATGTTGGGCTTAGATCTTTTAGATCTAGCTGATGAAGTAATTGTTAGGCTGTTTTCTCAAGTTACTGTGTATTCCTGTTCTTGATCTCCACATCCTTGGGATATCTGGTAAATCTCATCCTGCCTCTTCCTGGTTCTCTGCACAATTTTCTTTCCCCTCCTGTATGCTCCTTCTTCCTTGGTCAGCCTTGGTGCAGACATCAGAAGACATTTCAGCAGAAGAATTTCAGCACTCTTTGTAAGCTTTGTTTAAATAATACATTTCAAAGCAGTTTTTGACATGACCTATTTTTCAAATGAACACAGCACTTCTTGTCTTAGTGTTCCTATCTTCAGTGGCAAAAAATACAATCCTGTTGTAGTAGGATTTTTTGGAATTTAAAAATTCCATCACAGGATAAACTCGACCTGGCTTTGAGTATGGTACAATAATGTTTAACTTGTGACTCAGCTGTTGGTCTGGGATGACTTAAAGTGAATCTCTACAGAGCAGCTCTGACAATTCTTGTGCTGGTTTAAATCCCAAATTAGATAAAAGCACTTGGGGATAATAGAGTGCAACATATTTAATATATTCCAGTGAGTTGTCTTTCCTTTCCTTTTCCAGAAGGGCAGATGAGAGAGTGCAGTAGGTAATTCTCATAGGTGAAAATGATTCTTGTCTGTAACATGCTGATTCAGTGGGTTGTGTGGGCTTGCAGATAGGAGTTTGGGTAAGATTTGAGCAGAAATACCTCACCAGGTTTGTGAACTTTGCTATAAATTAAGACAGCTGCAGTTGTGTTTTGTAACTGTGTAGAAAAAAAAACTCTTCCTGGAATTCATATAGCTGTTGT